CTAAGGCACTTGACTGCTAACCAGAAGGCTGGCGATTCAAACCCACCAGCCACTCCTCAGAAGGAAGATGGGGCAATCTACTTCCGTAGTGATCCTGCCTCAGAAACCCAAGGAGCAGTCTCTATGAGTCGGATCCAACTGACGGCACACAACATCTGCTAGAGATACATACTGAAGCACTTACCAGTGAAATTATTTGATGTTAGAGATTTGCTTTGAATTACTTGTACAATTAAATATAAGTAAATAAATAGGTAGGTAGGTGGGTAGGTGGGTGGTTGAATAGCTAGATACAACTTCCGCAAGGAAATCCATTCTAGGTGCATTAATTCAAATTAAATATGAAGGCAAAACAAAGCTTTCAGATAACATAGGAGAAAACCTTCGTATCATCAGAGGAGAGAGAACACACTAAACGAAACTCAAAAATCACCAAATAAAAATGTGTTATACTATATATAAGTCTATAAATACTGGCAGCTTCACACTATTTCAAAAGTACTTACTGCTGGTAAAAGAGACTGCATATTTTGATTAGAATCTGCTATTGTAGCAAGGTACACCAAGTTTGTATGCAACATCTGCTGATACCTATTAAAACAAAAGAAATACCAATTATTAAAAAAATAATTTTCTTCCTATCTGCTTAAGTACCAACAGCATTCTAACTATAATTACACTTTAATAGAAGATTTATTCTACCTGAACATAAATAGTACTTCATTTTTTTTCTATTTCCTCTGCAAAACAATTCCATGAACAATATATTCAATAATAAACAGAAATCTTAATGTGTGCTAGATATTGTTGTAATTGTTTTATATACCTGTATGTAATAATTTTTTATATTCATTTAATATTCAAGACAGCATCATAAGGTAGGGACTCTTATGTTTCCCATTTTACAGATGAGGAAACTGAGGTTTAGAGAGATTAAATAACTTGTCCAAGATTGCATAGCTAGTAAACAGAACATGTATTCTCAGTAAACTGAGCTATGTACTGGCTCCACACATAGTACATTTGTTTTTATTTTTTCCAAGAGAACTGAAAACTGATGCCCTTATCCCCTTCCTCTGCCATTTTCATGTTACTAACAACTTCACACCCAAGTATAGTTAACAGTGTCCCGCTAAACTGCTAGAAAGGAGGTGAAAACCACACACTTTTCCCCCTTTTAACTCTTACAGCAATGTTCAACAACTGACATAAGCCCTCTGCAGTTACACTGCTTATCTACTAGGGCTCGTCATACAAACCACACACACACACACACACACGTATGCATGGGAGCGCTTGCACCATAGGGCCGAACGCACATGACTGCTAACCAGAAGGCTGGCGGTTCAAACCCACCAGCCATTCCTCGGAAGGAAGATGGGGCAATCTACTTCAGTAGTGATACTGTCTCGGAAACCCAAGGGGGGGTTGCTATAAGTTGGGTACGACTCGATGGCACATAACAACAACAACAAACCTTTCTTCAAGGCCTGACAAATTGCTTTCACAAAGATTACAGTCAAAAAAACCTTATGGAGTCCTACTCTGTATGACACAAGGTCACCATGAGTCAGAGGCCAACTCCACAGCAGCTAACAGCAATAACTTCTCTTCAGAATTTTAAATAAATCCAAATGAAACAGAATAAAATTAGTAGTGATTCAATTACTACTGTTTGCTCTAAGCACATGTGAGTGAACAATGTAAATCTGTTCAGACACCAACTGCAAACACAGTACTTTTTCCTCTGACCCTAACGACCAGAACTAGATCAGATCTCACAAGTAAAAGAGACCAGTCTTCCAGACTACCAAGTCACAAACTTAGGGGTTCCCACAACACCCTCACTTCTGATCTGCTGGTTACAAATCTGGCGTTTCCACTACCACTACAGGATGCCAGCCATAAGCTCGGGAGCCTCAATATAGTCTCCTCACTTCCGACCTGTTGGGTACAAATTCAGTGGTTCCCTCTACCACCTCAGGAAATCAGATGCAAACTGAGGATTCGTAGCATTCTCATCATTTCTGACCTGCTGGCTACACATTCATGGATTCCGAATACTTCCTCAGGTTCAATAATTCATTAGAATAATTCACAGAGCTCAGGAAAGCACTGTGAATTAGTTTTAATAAAACTAATTTATTATTAGTTTTATTAAAGCAAAAAGAATTAAAATGAAGAGTTACATACGGCAAGGCCTGGGAGGGTCCCTGATGTAGAACTTCCACCCAAAAAAAAGACACATCACACTCCCAAGAACCAGTGTCTTTCACCAACCAGGAAGCTCATGGATATTCAGTGTCCAGAGTTTTCAATGGGGATCTTATTAAGTGCACATGATTGAATGAATTATTGCCCAAATGACTGAACTCAGTCTCCACCCTCTCCACCCTCAAGGTTGGATGAATATCACATGGTGGGACTTTCTGGCCTGGCAAGCCCCCATCCAAGAGTCACCTCATTAGTATAAACTTTCAGGTATAGCCTGGAGCCATGACAGATAATAAAACTCCAATCACTGGGGAAATTCTAAGGTTTTAGAAAGGACAAAGACCAAATTCTTTGGGTAAAGTTCTTGTAAATCCCATAATATGCATATAGTAAACCCTTAAATACAAACTTAAACAGCTGTATCAAATTGTTTGGCTGTCCTAGAATTTCATTTACTAAAAAAATACTAAATGCAAATTAAAATAATAAAGTCCAAAGAACTTTATCCAGCTAAAAGGGTAGTCTAACATTCTCACTGACCTTCAAGTTTCCCTGGGTGGCAGAAATGAGGAGGCACTTGACTGCTAGTCAACCTCACCTAGAGGTCCCTCAGGACACAAGCCTGGTGATCAGTTTCCAAAAGATCACCTGTGGAGCATCTCTGAACACATGGAATCAACTCCACAGCAACTAGTAACACTGACAAGCCCATGTTCTTAATGCTCTCCCTCATGTGTACACTATGCTACCCAATCAGACATGTGGTATATTTTTGTTATAGTAACCCTTAAATAAACAAGACAATGAAAAAATAATTACTGTATTGCATTTAATTATGTATCACATTGAATAAGGATTAAGTTGTTGAAATTTTTCCAACAGCACTAATAGGGACTACTAACTGACTGACTTCACTTTCCTGTAGGTATCCTGCAATGGAACTTAAGATACAATCCTTTTTAATTAGAACATATGCCACAGTTCAAAGTTTATTCCTTTGCCTTTTTCCTTTCTTAGTATCAGAATGGTTGTACTTATTCAGACATGAGGTTTTCTGTGGACCACTAAAAAAATAAAATTAAAAAATGCCCAACCTTACTTACGAAGAGACATGGTTTGCTCATAACCTCTTAAGGAAAAAAAAAAAAAAACTTACTTTCACACTAATTAGCACTTAATAAGCTACTGTTAAAATACTAGTCAATCTAATCTCCATACAAAGCTTCATTTGTAAAATTATAGACAAAGTAAATATCTAAAGTCCTTTTCAGTTCCAAGTATCTGTGAACCTATAAATATAGCACCTTTTATGGAATAGTTTAGGAGCTCTGGTAGCATAGTGCCTAAGACACTTGACTGCTACCCAGAAGGCTGGTGGTTCAAACCCATCAGCCAGTCCTCGGAAGGAAGGTTGGGCAATCCTACTTCTGTAGTGATACTGCCTCCGAAACCCAAGGAAGTGTGGCTATGAGTTGGATCTGACTTGATGGCACATAACAACAACAACATGGAATAGTTTAATTTTAGGACATTTTTCTAACACTCCTCCTACCCATTAAATCCTTTAAACATTTAATCTGAAATAATTTCAAACTTACAGAAATGTTCCTAGAATAAAGAACTCTATCTCCTTTTCCTAAATTCCTCAATTCTTAGCATGTTACTCCATCTTACCAATCTCTCTCTCTATTCACACAGGGATCAACACATAAACATATTTTCTTAAAAAACCACGTGTGAGTTCCGGCAAGATGGTGGACTAGGCAGAAGGACTGCACAGACGCTCTTCAACAAAGAAAAGGGAAACCAATTAACACAGACACAGAAGATAATCTTGGACCCCTGAGCCTTGAAAGGAAGGATACAAAAGTAGACTAAACCCCAACTAGCAGAAGAATTTGGTGAAAATACCTAAAAAGGAGACACACGGAGATGCAGTCGGGCAGTGGCCTGAGCAACCCTGACGGCACAGACGACAGGGCTTGTAGATTCCCAAGTGGTGGTAGGACCTAAGAATTAACCCAAAAATCACCCTGCTAGCCAGGGACTGCATGTAAGACTGTGCACGGTGGCTGGGGAACAAACGGAGAAGGTGAAGAGAAAGGTGGGCTGAGCTGTGGACTTTTGCCGGTCCAGAGAGCGCTGCCATTTTGTAGGTTTAAAAAGCGGCCTGACTATTTTGGATATTTAAAGAGACAGCGCTCTCGCAGATTCCTGTGGTGGTAGGACTTAAGAATTAACCTACAAATCACCCTGCTAGCCAGAGACCGCGCAGAGGACTGTGCACGGTGGCTGGGGACCAAACAGAGAAGGTGAAGAGAAAGGTGGGTTGAGCTGTGGACTTCTGCTGGTCTGGAGGGAACTACCATTTTGTAGGTTTAAAAAGCAGCTTGACTATTTTGGATATTCAAAGAGACAGCGCTCTTGCAGACTTCTGGGGCTTAAGAACACGTTCTGCTTCCCAGCAACCCCAAGAACACTCGGGGCCTGCAAGACTGAAAAGGTACGACATTCTTCTTGTTACTACACCTTACACCCACTTGGTGAACGGTGGCCATCCCCACTTCCACCTACCTTCTGGGCCCACAGGAACTCCATCACATTTTGTGTGCTCAGACAGAGCCTGGGTACCCTACCCAGTCCTCCACTGATCTTTTCTTTTTCCATTTTTTTCCTTTTTTGTTTTCTTTTTCCCGGTGATTAGTTTGCTTGTGTTTATCCGTTTCAAACCAACTAATATTATTAATACTTTTGTCCTTTTTATTATTATTCTTAATCTAACCCTACCAAGTCCTAGTTTTCAGCATTTTTTTTCTTTTCCCTATGCCTGGTTGAAATTCTGCCGCTCCCCCCCCAATTTAAGAGTTGTTTTTTTTCCCCACTTTTTTTTTCTCATGACTAATCCCATTCCTTGTTTTTCTTTTTGCATTCTTCCTGTTTTTTTCTTCATTTATTATTCTCCTTCCCTATTTTCTTTTTTTCCTCCGTGCTCTATACCCAGATATTGCAGGTTTGCTTGTTTTTTCTTCTTTTTTTCCCTTTTCTCTTTTTTTGGTTACTGTTCCTGTGTGATTGATTACATGGGGTGTTTTTCATCCATGGGCTTTTAGTTTTTTGATGGTTATTCAAT